TGGTTTTCGCTTTTATATATATAGATGAAGAACATAAAATAATGAAATCCTTCAAACAGGGAAAGTCCCCTTTAAACTGTAGAGAGAAGAACAGTAAAAGCAGTAACTACTATAGGAAAGGAATCCCATTCATTAAAAAAAAAAAAATCTCAAATAATGTTTTAAATACCAACTTCGAAAGTCAGGAATTAATTAAGCCAGGTAGAAACAAGCCATAAAAAGTTAGAACTGATTACATTTTACACGGAACTGCCTACTACACTTTCGTTCTCTTTTCTGGCTTTCTTGCAAAACAGACAAACCGACCACAAGTACACAGCAGGAAATCTCTGACAATGAGATTAGGAAGGTTTCACTTTGCGTAATCTTGTACTAATATATAATCTTGACAAATGACAAATGCGATCAGCCAAACGTGAAGACAAACCTTGTGAGAGAAATCACTGAGACTGACACATTGTATATAACAAAGAAACTTTTAATATAAATATCTGTCAAAAAGAGGGCTGTGAAAATGTCTACAGACCTCTCACATCCTGGACAGAAATTGTTTCAACTTCTACCCTCAAAACGACGGTATAGAGCACTGCACACCAAAACAATTAGACGCAAGGACAGTTTTTTCCTGAATGCCATCACTCTGCTAAACAACTAATTCTCACAACACTGTCAAATAATTTACTAAGACTATTACTATTATTCTTTTCTTCCTTTACTAGTATCTATCTCTTCCCACTTATTACTATATAACCATGTTGCTTGTATCTTTCAATTTATATTGTTTTTATTTGTTTCCTAGTACGATTTGAAAGTGTATTAGTAACCTTGATTATCACTACTGTAAGTGGTGTATCTTTTAATTCTTGATGAACGTATTTTATTCTCCTTATGTACACTGAGAGCGTATGCACCAAGACAAATTCCTTGTGTTTCCAATCACACTTGGCCAATAAAGTATTTCTATTCTATTCTGTTATATTCTGTTCTGTTCTAATTCTAATTCTAATTCTAATTCTAATTCTAATTCTAATTCTAATTCTAATTCTAATTCTAATTCTAATTCTAATTCTAATTCTAACCCTAACCCTAACCCTAACCCTAACCCTAACCCTAACTCTAACTCTAACTCTAACTCTAACTCTAACTCTAACTCTAACTTCTTCTATGAATTTTTACTCAGATCTTTGATGTTGGCCTCAGTCCCAAGCATGAGGTTCTCTATTTCTGCGGAATTATGCAGATGGAAAAAAAAAGTTGCTTTTCCTTGTTCCAGTGTGATTTATGGCCCCTTTTGCACTGGGAAAATAAAAGCCAACTGAGACTCCTCCCAACCTGTCTATGCAAAGAATTGCATATATCCCAAGTACAAAGTATGTTTGTTTAAATCAGAGCGATAACTTTAGAGACTCCACTTTAGCGTAATTATCAATCTTAGTATCTTTGCAGAACATCAAATGCAGAACTAAAGAGAAAAATCACACACCAACCACAGGGTCACGTTTCAAGGTGTTGGAAAAAAAATCCAGTTCCAGTTCTAAGCTGGGAATAAAAGGAGGCCGCTTGAGAAAGAAGTTCTGTTTATTATTGATGAGTGGAATCAACATACACACAGAGTGCAGCTCTGGGACAGCTGACAAATTAGCTTGATGAGTGCAAGGATTTTTATACAGTTTACAGCAGGAGTCTCCAACCTTGGCAACTTTAAGGCTTGTGGAGTTCAACTCCCAGAATTCCTCAGCCAGCAAAGGCTGGCTGAGGAATTCTGGGAGTTGAAGTCCACAAGCCTTAAAGTTGTCAATGTTGGAGACCCCTGGTTTATAGTAGTTTTTATGTTGAGGTTCGCTTTGTGTGCTTTTATTATTTGATTGGTTTTACTTGTTTCCGCAAAGGCTGGTGATGGGTCTTAATTGTCAGCTTCTTGAATCTAATCCTGTCAGGCATGAGTAAGTGATTTTATCCTGTTATCTATTGCCTTTAGCCTGCTTTTCTTAATGGACTTAATAAATGGTATTGTTTCCACTTTGCTCCATGAATGGAGTTAAGGTCATGTCCCCTCCTTAATCCCATCACCTGGAAGTGAAGTTGTTTTGTTTGTGAATAGGCACATTAAGAAGGACCGAAGCTACTTTCTGCCCCTAAGAATGTGTTTCTCCATTTCTCTTTTGCAGAAATATAATATTCTGTCTCTTACTATTCCCCAGTTTCATTTTCTGGGGTGGGGGTGTAGGAAGTTAGCACCCACCCCTTTTCTGGAAGAATGAAATATTTTAGGAAATATTAAAAAGGCAGAATATTATATTTCCCTGTATGAGAAATGGAGAAACATGTTTTAAAGACAAAGCAACTCCCACCTTCCTGCCTCCACACCCTTTGTTAATGGGCCAGAGGCAGAAACCCAATCCTTTGTCAAAGGACATCTGCAACACAATGGGACCCATCTAGGACAGAAACTCACCACATGGCACCTGGGAAGATTACATCAGTCAGCAAGGCTAGCTAAGACCCCCACCCCCTGGGAGTCTGACAATCAATCAGGATACTCTTTCGGGGCCCCAGGAAGTTCAAAGCCAGAGAGAGCATAAAACCCGGGGACTCATTGCATCTCGCCCCTTTTCTGTTCAGGAACTCAAGCCATGTGATCCTGTCCACCATTAAACCATCTTTCCAAGCAGTCTCCATGTTTCCAGTGTCTTTTTCCCCACTTGGAGCTGAACCCAGAAGGATATTTCTTTCAACAGGGGGGGTGGGGGCTTTCCACAATTAGATGTCTGAACAACTGAAACCTTACAGTGAAAAATCCAAATTAAACTCGGTCACTTTCCATTACTACAGTTCAGGGGTGAAATCCAGCAGGTTCTAACAGGTTCTGGAGAACCGGTAGCGGAAATTTTGAGTAGTTCGGAGAACCGGCAAATTTCATCTCTGGTTGGCCCCAGAGTGGGGTGGGAATGGAGATTTTGCAGTATCCTTCCCCTGGAGTGGAGTGGGAATGAAGATTTTGCAATATCCTTCCCCTGCCATGCCTACCAAGCCATGCCCACAGAACCGGTAGGGAAAAATTTGGATTTCACCCCTGCTACAGCTGTAGAGAGTGTGACACACTTGGACAGAAAGGGAGCTGAGTTTCCATAAGTGTAACCCTCTGCTGTTTACAATGAAAGGTACCTCTGTGACTACCAAGTGTATGCATGTTGTACCTCACAACCTTTTGCAAACAGCAGCAGTCTAAAAAAAAAAAGAGTTGTTGCTATTAGACCAAACGGGATTTGAAGGCAGTAGGTGCCATCTTTGATCGAACAAAGTGGAAACAATACCATTTATTAAGTCCATTAAGAAAAGCAGGCTAAAGGCAATAGATAACAGGATAACTGTAACTCAAAACCTAGAGGTATTAGTTACCATGCACAGACTCACAATAAGAGCCTTGGTGGTGCAGCGGACTAAAGCACTGTTAAGTAATACCAGCTGCCTGCAATTACTGCGAGTTCAAATCTTACCAGGCTCGGCCAGTTTTGCAGAAATGGCGAAGATATCAGCATATTTAAAAGACCAGACTCAAGAGACTTATGTATGGGAGTGGAAGAAATGGATAGATTATGTGCAGAATAAATATCAAACTAGGAAGTATCAGATAGCTTTTAGCTGAATGTTGTGTAGAAATGCATAGTATATAGGGGCCAAAATAGCATATTGTTATGGAGAAATGTATAGTGCACAGGGGGGAAAATAGAGGGGTGGTAAAATATGATATAATATAATGTGGACGGATTTCACCTTGGGGAAGTCATGGGAAGAGGGGAGGGTTAGGGGGGGTTAGGGAGGGATGGGGGGGGGAAATGGGGAAAAATTGGTTTTTGTAAAACTTTTTCAATAAAAAAAAAAATCTCACCAGGCTCAAGGTTGACTCAGCCTTCCATCCTTCCGAGGTAGGTAAAATGGAGGACCCAGATTGTGGGGGGCAATAAACTGACTTTGTATTAAAAAAAAGAACACCGCTTAGTGGGGGGCCCGAAAGCCCTACTAAGCAGGTACATACAAAAGTATGAAGGCTATTGCTTAAAAGCATTGTAAGCCACCCTGAGTTTCCGGAGAAGGGCGGCATATAAATCGTTCCAATAAATGAATGAATGAATGAATGAATGAATGAATGAATGAATGAATGAATAAATAAATAAATAAATAAATAAATAAATAAATAAATAAATAGTTAAACCAGTCACACAGGGCTTCTTGTCACTGCCCTGTTGGTGGCTGGACAGTTGTTATCTCTGGCACAAACGTCTCCTGAGGGCAAATGTTGAAGGTGTGGGAAATAGTAACATGTTGTTTTTGCACCAAGCATGTCTGATACCCTTTCGGAATATGTATGTGACCAAGAGCAGTGAAAACAGCGAAGGTTTTTAAACAGGAAACATCTGGAGTGCCAAAGATGGGTAGTTTAACCACAAGAAATTATAGGAAAGCATACATTGCAAAAAATGCTACCCATATATCTTATCTTCTTATGTCTAGGCAAATAGATAGCAGGAAGCCCCAACTGAAGCTAAGCCTTGCAGTCAAAGGTTGTTACAGCGGCAAAAGTTAATCCCCTGATTAACTTTTGCCGCTGTAACAACCTTTGACTGCAAGGCTATGCGATAAAAAGGAGAATGAATGAATGAATGAATGAATGAATGAATGAATGAATGAGGGTTAGGGGTGCTTAAAGCATAGTAGTGGTAGATATAAACAGGGGCGGAGATTCATGTGGGGTTATTTAGGTGCCTCGGATAGACTGTAAAGGGTCTCCTGCTTAAGCAGGGGGCTGGACTAGAAGACCTCAAAGGTCCCTTCCAGATCTATTCTGATTCTGATCATCTGATCACCATTTGCAACCACCTTAGCTGGCTTTCAACAAGCAAAGCCAACGGGGGAAGCAGATTTACTTAATGACAGCCTGATTCACTTAACAATTGGCATGACTCACTTAACAACATTGGTAAAAAAGGACGCAAAACTAATCTTAGGCAAGGCTGTTTTTATTTACTTTGTAGGTAAATTCTCCGTACAGAATGGCATACTCAGTATAATTGAGCAAACTGTAATATTTTCCAGACTGCCTTTCTCCCAAATTAATTGCAATATTACTTAATGGTAAGATGGGCTTTTGGGCCATCATATAAAGTATGAATCAATTATTCTCACACATGGCTCTGGTCCAGTGGTGGGTTTCAAATTATTTTACTACCGGTTCTGGGGGCATGGCCTGGTGGGCATGGCTTGGCTTGGTGGGTGTGGCTTGGTGAGCGTGGCAGGGGAAGGTTACTGCAAAATCCCCATTTCCTCCCGATCAGCTGGGACTTGGGAGGCAGAGAATAGATGGGGGTGGAGCCAGTCAAAATTTCCGCTACCGGTTCTCCAGAACTGGTCAGAACCTGCTGAAACCCACCTCTGCTCTGGCCCATGCATTTCTGAAATATGCAGAGTTCTAAAACATCCACGTTGCTAAGAAGGGAAAGAATTCAGATTATTATATTTGAGGCTGCTGAAATCACTTTATTGAATAATTTACTTTTGTTCCTTGGTTTTACCATAAGCTGTTTTATGGGACAGGCTGCAATGCATAGGTGAATACAGTATTTTTATGATGTTGGTTAAATGCCAAACACTAAGCAGGAAGTAGCCAACAAAACTTTCAGGGGTATGTTTTATACTTTTGCCCACATAACTTTTACTGTTGTGAGTTTCATAGCTCATCTAAAGGCACTAAGATAGCTTTTTTAAAAAAGGAACAGAAACAATGTAAACGAGCTTGCCTCCATTTCTTCAGTACAGGTGGTTCTTGAGTTGCAACGGTTCATTTAGTGACTGTTCGAAGTTACAACAGCACTGATAAAAGTGACTTATGACCATTTTTCACACTTACGACTGTTGCAGCATCCCCATGGTCATGTGATTTATAGCTGGATGCTTGACAACTGGTTCATATTTATGACGAATGCAGTATCCCGGGGTCATGTGATCCCCTTTTGCAACTTTCTGACTAGCAGTCAACGGGGGGAGCCAGATTCACTTAACAACGGTGTTACTAACTTAACAACTGCAGCAGTGGTGGGTTTCAAATTTTGTTACTATCGGTTCTGTGGGCGTGGCTCGGTGGGCATGGCAGGGGAAGGATACTGTAAAATCTCCATTCCCACCCCACTCCAGGGGAAGGATACTGCAAAATCCCCATTTCCTCCCCACTCCAGGAGAAGGATACTGCAAAATCCCCATTTCCTCCCGATCAGCTGGGACTTAGGAGGCAGAGAATAGATGGGGGCGGGGCCAGTCAGCATTTTTACTACCGGTTCTCCGAACTACTCAAAATTTCCACTACCGGTTCTCCAGAACTGGTCAGAACCTGCTGAAACCCACCTTTGAACTGCAGGGATTCTTTTAACACTTGCGGCAAGAAAAGTCGTAAAATGGGGCAAAACTCACTTAATAAATTTCTCACTTAACAACCTAAATTTTGGGCTCATAAGTCGAAGATTACCTGTAGTTAGGATTTTATGAGGCATATAAAGGCCCTGCAAACTCTATGTTCATATCTGTTTTTGCAGGATATCTCAGGAAGCATACACCCACATACCACTTCAGTGTTCTGATGTTGATAAATGGAGGTCTAAAAAACATAATCCTGAGAAGAATTTCAAGTAAAAGGGCTTTAATTTTACTACAGGATATGACAGTCTGAGAGAAATGAAACTCATTCATAGTGGTGGAAAAGGGATAGTGACTACCAGCTGTCAGGTGTAACCATCTGGAACCACTAATGAATAACGAAAGTCAGGAACTTTATCGTCTACTCCCTATGTATGAATCTCACTAGACAGCTTGTGTTCCTGTGGGAATAGCTGGATAAGGCTTCGTGGATCTTGGGGGAGGTCAAAGTTATGTGCTTGCGGCTCCTCAAAGACTGCAAGCTAGGCCCTCACTTGATTCCTCCCTGCAGCCTTCCTGGTAGTTTCCCACACCAGCATTAGGAAACGTTGTACCATTGGCTAGGAGAGTAAGAACAACATAATTTACTAGCTAAATGAGGGGTGTCAAACTTGATTTTATTGAGGGCCGCATCAGGGTTGTGTTTGATCTCAGGGTGTCAGGGAGGCATGGCCAGGGTGGGTGTGGCCAGCTCAACATCGTGTTGGGGGCACCTGTGGTGGCCTGAGCGCTCTGCCAGCGAAAACTGGCTCCTGAGCTCCGTTTTCAGCTGCGACGGCCTCCTGCAACCCCCTGCCAGTGAAAACGGAGCTCCATTTTTATTGACAGAGGCAACATGGGCCAGTCCTTCACTACTTGCAGGTCGGCCCCTCAGGCCAGATCTAAGCACCCCATGGGACAAACCTGGCCCGCGGGCCTTGAGTTTGATACCCCTGAGCTAAACAATCACATACACTAATTTTTCTTAAAATGGCGCTCTCCATATTTTTTTTGTTTTATATCTGTTTCAATTCAAAGCTGTGGTGGCTAGGAATCACAATAATTCTAGTCCCTCACATCTGGACAGCAAGCACTTCCATGTAAGATAGGTGTGGGTCATGGCTTTAGATTACAATTTTACCTTATTTTCTCCAAGAACTACATCCTGCAAACAGAAATCACGGGTAACCCTAAAACAGGAAAGGCAGAATCTAGATCCACCAATAAATCTTCAAAGGTCTAGAAGGGTTGGTTTTTTAAAATATAATTCCTAATTGTTTAACAACATCAGCAACCAAAATGTTTTCTTTTCCACTTTAAATGAAATAGGGAGATCAAGCAAAGAAGGACAGAACCAAGAACAGCAGGTTTTTGGGTGTCTAGAATTTGAGCTCTTAATCACTACTAAAATTTAATTTCTGGGTTAATATGCTTAGAATTATAAAGCAAGGGTGTCTCTAAATAATGGTCTTCCTACAAACTACTTTAATGAATCTTACTTCTCAGAATTCTAATACATCTTACTAATAGAATTCTAATTCTAATTCTTCTCAGAATTCTACATTGGTTTAAAAAAGACACTTAGGATGAAATCTTCTAGAATATCCCCATCGCTTTCCTTCTGTTGATATCTCTCTTGATTTGGCAGAGGGAACAAACAGGGAAACAACACACAATGCAGGTATCGTTACAGATGGAGCCCTGTTGAAAAGAAAAGAAACCAAATGATTCCATAACCTTTTCAATGAAATCATGATGTAGAGAGATAGAATCATGAAAAGCTAACTCTGTGTTGGATGGCAAAACACAGGCAGTCCTTGACTTACAACAGTTCATTTAGTGACCGTTCAGAGTTACAATGGCACTGAAAAATGCGACTTATGATCGTTTTTCACAATTACGACCTTTGCAATATCCCCACGTTTCATGTGATCAAAATTCAGACACTTGGCAACTGGCTCATATTTATGACGGTTGCAGTGTCCTGAGGTGATGTGTTTGTGACCTTATGACAAGCAAAGTCAACGGGGAAGCCGGATTCACTTAACAGCCGTGTTACTCAATTAACAACTGCAGTGATTCACTTAACAACGGTGGCAAGAAAGGTTGTAAAATCGGGAAAAACTCACTTATCCAATGTCTCACTTAACAACAGAAATCCATTACATTATAAAAACTTATTTTAAAAAATCCACTTCAACCATCGCCAGTGGCACCAACAATACAATTAAAGCAGTGGTGAAATTCAACTTTTTTTTACTACCAGTTCTGTGGGCGTGGCTTGGTGGGCGTGGCTTGGCTTGGTGGGCGTGGCTTGGCTTGGTGGACGTGGCTTGGCTTGGTGGGCATGGCAGAGGAAGGATATTGCAAAATCTCCATTCCCACCCCACTCTGGGGCCAGCCAGAGATGGTATTTGCCAGTTCTCCAAACTACTCAAAATTTCCGCTACCGGTTCTCCAGAACCTGTCAAAACCTGCTGAATTTCACCCCTGAATTTCGCACGATCAGCTCCATTTCTATTTGTGGTCCTCAGGCTGACAAAACCGTTTTCAGAAAAGCAGCAGGGTTTGGGGGCACTGAGGGGCTACCACCAAGAAGGTCTTTTTTCATGGTCCCACGCTTGACAATCCCTAATCGATGGGATTTGTAACATATTCTGTCTTCCCATCCTTGTGGGCCAGGTAGATGTGATAGTTATGTTTGGCGTGGAATAAGTGTCATTTTAATTTTCATTCCTATATTTCTGAAAGATTATGGTCTACTGCAAATAACAAATGAAAGAATTATCTGTTCATTTCCCAGGTCAGGGTTTTTTTCTCACAGATTTCTAGATTGTGCATGCACTGCCTTTCTGAGCGGGCCTAGGACAGCTCGCCAAATCCAACTCTCCACGGCCAATTCTCCATGGTCAACTCACTAGAGCACAACTCACCATAGGCCAACTTGCCATGCGACAAGAATTACACTAATATTGAAGAAATGCTGGAATAGAATCACTGAAGAAAGAATGCCGAAGAAGGGACAAAAGGAAATGTGAATGACAAAAATTAAAATAATTTTTTAACGTATTTTACATAATTAAATTGAATTGTTGAATTTTCCATTGGCGAGTTGTCCCATGATGAGTGGGCCATGTCAAGTTATCCAACAGCAAGTTGGTTGCCCCACTCCGTTTCTGAGTTGGTATTTCTCTCCAATTTAACAAGTAATGTACTTAAGATTATAGATTGGGGTTTTTTTGGTTTTAACTAGAGTTTATAAACCTGAAGTTTGTCTAGTCTTAGGCAAGGTAATCTACTTACAGGGATACTGTATTTTGTCCTGTAGACAGCTCGCATGGCCACAGTTGGGCCACAGAAACAACATTCATTCATATCTGCAGCAACTTGGCATGCCATACAAGGGAAGAAGAACATTCCACAGAAACCTATAGAGAGGAAGAAAAAAGCCCCTGTAGAAATATTTTGGCAAAGCATTGAGTGACATAAGATTTATAGCCCAGAAAGTACAAATTATACAATTTCTGCAACATCAAAACTGCAAATGAAAATGCTAGCAGAGGGGAGGGCTGAAAAAAACTCATTTACAAATCACATTAAATTAAAGACACACTCCATTGTATTTTTCTCTATACTGATATTCTCAACTATTATGAAAGAGAATTAAGGAAATTACTGTTGGAAAGAGACTGGCTGAGCCAGGGAGTGGAGTCAAACAGGGAACTAATCTGGAATCACTATGTGGGCATAAGAGAGTGAAGTCTGATCTTCCTTGAATGCTTTTAACCTTACCTAGTCTGACCCAGGTGCAAAGGAGCCTGAGTGGCATAGGAGGCTAATACCTCCTACTAAGGCAGCATTTAACATCCAGCTGCCTGCAATTACTGCGAGTTCAATTCTCACCAGGCTCAAGGTCGACTCAGCCTTCCATCCTTTCTAAGGTGGGTAAAATGAGGACCCTGTTTGTGGGGGCAATAAGCTGACTTTGTATAAAATATACAAAAGTATGAAGGCTATTGCTTAACGCATTGTAAGCTGCCCTGAGTCTCCGGAGAAGGGCAGCATATAAAAATAAATAAAAATAAAATAAAATAAAAATGGCCGGTCTGAGAAGCTTCCTATGTTATATTTATTTATTTATTTGTTTGTTTGTTTGTTTGTTTGTTTGTTTGATTTATATGCCGCCCTTCTCCGGAAACTCAGGGCATCTTACAATGTGTTAAGCAATAGTTTAGTTTAGTTTAGTTTATTTGATTTGTATACCGCCCTACTCCCGAAGGACTCAGGGCGGTGAACAGCCAACAATAAAATACATAAATACACAAAATTTAAAAACCTGATAAAATCAAATTAAACTTTTTGGCCCAGATAATAGCCTTCATACTTTTGTATATACCTGCTTAGTAGGGCTTTCGGGCCCCCCTAAGCAGTGTTCTTTTTTATACAAAGTCAGCTTATTGCCCCCACAATCCAGGTCCTCATTTTACCTACCTTGGAAGGATGGAAGGCTGAGTCAACCTTGAGCCTGGTGAGATTTGAACTTGCAGTAATTGCAGGCAGTTGGCAGCTAAGTGCTATTTAACAGCGCTTTAGTCCGCTGCTCTACCAAGGCTCCTTATAGGCTTGAATAATAAAATAGCTAATTGAGTTCTTTGCACGTGGATCTGACTGATTGTGCCTGACAATTACCAATAGAAGAAAATACTTATAACTCACATTTGAACTGTTGTGTCCTTGATGCTTTCCAGGCTTCTTTGTTTTCTTTAAGATATTTCATTATCCAGTTAGATAACATCTTTAGCACTAGTAGTGATGCTGTCCTAGCACTGATGATATTCCCTACCTGGGTCAGGAAACATGTGCAAGAAAACAACTGAGCTCGGAAAGCAGCAAGGACCCCACATTATGAAAATTAAAATTCAAAACATTAGATGGACACCAGGTTGTTTTCTTTAAAAAAAAATATTTTAGCATAATTCTTCAGTTGTGTCACATCAGGCGCAAAAAGCCAGGTGCCAGGATAGAGTTCAAAAGTTTACTTTATGTTTTATACAAGAATCTGATCTACTAATGGTCAAGGCCGATTGGTGCTCAATAGGAGTCAACAGAATTCAAAGGGGGCTGGATTTAAATCTCTTGTGGGAACGTAGCAACTCCAAACTGATGGTCCGTTTGACCCCACCCTCAGGCTCAGCCTGGTCATCTCCTACATGTAGGACTTTAAGGTTCCATACACAACTTTTAATGGCATAGAAGCTGTGTGTTGTGGCCCACCAGCTGCCAGCAGAGCTGGCGGCAGATTCAGAGGATGAGGACATTCGGGAGGAACGTGGGCCAGTCCTAGAGTCTGGGGAAGGCTCTGATGGAGGCTCTGCATCAGAAGCAGAGATAGAGAAGCAGGGCCATCCGACATTCCCCAGCTGCCTTCAGAGTTGGAGATAAGTGAGGAAGAGGAACATCTGGAGCCTGTTCCAGATGCATGTATTCACAGAACTGTCAAGAGAGAACTGAGGATCAGGAGCCGACTTGGGAAGAAAGGCACATGGGTATGCTGAATGGCCCCTCCCTGACTGGGGAATAAATAGGAGGAAAGCGGAGGGGTGGTCGCAGGAGACAATCATCCGGATTTCTTTCTGAAGATTTGTTCATCGTGTTTCTTGCCTCAGAAACTGCTTCACAGAGTTTAATTTACAATTTGCAGCTGGAAACTGCCGGTCTGGCAATTACCCAAGGAACTAATAAGGTTTATACTACCCGTTAACCCTTTGAAGGATTATTGCCTGGACTTTTCTCTGTGTGAATGACATTAATTCAAAGTAACTAAATAAAGAGGGTTTTTTCAGGACAAGAGGTCTGTTTCTTGGTTCTGCTAAGGCTGGGTCAGAACATTGTGTCTCCTTTTATATCTTGCCATCCTAATTCCAATCCAACAGGCTGTTCAAATAATTAAACATCCATTGCTCTGGTCACTTACAGACTCCACAGTCGCTAAAGCAGTCACATAAGTTCGTTTGCCAATAGTTTCTGTTGGACTGGACCGTCACTACCATCGGTTGCTGAGTAACAATCATTGGCTGAACACTCATGGTGGGCAATATTCTAAGAAAAAGAAAGAAGAGAGCCAAAAAGAGAAGAGATTAATGAACAGGCTTGGTAGAAGGTGATCTCAGTCCCAACTCCACAGAGTGGGATGTGGTTGCTACCATTCGACTCTGGATGAAGCCTTTCTGATACTCAAATTGGTACTGTGAGAATCTTAAACTCTAAACCTGGAACAGAGCCATACTGAACGTCCAATTGTCCTCTATTGTTTTGAAAGAGTGGTTCCCTCTGCACCAGGGATGAAATCCAGCAGGTTCTAACAGGTTCTGGAGAACCGGTAGCAGAAATTTTGAGTAGTTCAGAGAACCAGCAAATACCACCTCTGGCTGGCCCCAGAGTGGGGTGGGACTGGAAATTTTGCAATATCCTTCCCCCAGGAGTGGGGAGGGAATGTGGATTTTGCAGTATCCTTCCCCTGGAGTGGGGTGGGAATGGAGATTTTGCAGTATTTTCCCCCCAGGAGTGGGGAGGGAATGGGGATTTTGCAGTATCCTTCCCCCAGGAGTGGGGTGGGAATGGAGATTTTGCAGTATCCTTCCCCCAGGAGTGGGGTGGAAATGGGGATTTTGCAGTATCCTTCCCCCAGGAGGGGAGGGAATGAAGATTTTGCAATATCCTTCCTCCAGGAGTGGGGAGGAAATGGGGATTTTGCAGTATCCTTACCCCAGGAGGGGAGGGAATGGAGATTTTGCAGTATCCTTCCCCCAGGAGAATGGAGGGAATGGAGATTTTGCAGTATCCTTCCCCTGGAGTGGGGATGGAATGGGGATTTTGTAGTATCCTTCCCCCAGGAGGGGAGGGAATGGAGATTTTGCAATATCCTTCCTCCAGGAGTGGGGAGGGAATGGGGATTTTGCAGTATCCTTCTCCCAGGAGTGGGGATGGAATGGGGATTTTGTAGTATCCTTCCCCCAGGAGGGGAGGGAATGGAGATTTTGCAGTATCCTTCCCCTGAAGTGGGGTGGGAATGGAGATTTTGCAATATGCTTTCCCCAGGAGGGGAGGGAATGGAGATTTTGCAATATCCTTCCCCCAGGAGGGGAGGGAATGGAGATTTTGCAGTATCCTTCCCCTGCCATGCCCACCAAGCCACACCTACAGAACCGGTAAGGAACAATTTTGGATTTCACCCCTGCTCTGCACTTCGGCAATTGCTCCTTCGTCCCTTGGTTCTAGTCCCTGAGCCTTGGGATCTTGAAACTGGGTGGCTGATGGCAAGCCATTGGCTTATCTCACTTTCTGAAAGCAAATTAAGTTGACCAACGCTCTGTCCTATGGCTGATAGTCAAAGACAGTCTAGTATTCTAGTACGATAAGAGTTACTTTCTTCCTTTTTTTGTCTCTGGAGATTCTCAATCATCCAAGTCATGGTTGTCCCAAAGGTGCTTTTCTAAAAGGCAACTGGACTTTTTGATTTTATTTTCTCTTGAAAGCATTTCGCTTCTCATCTAAGAAGCTTCGTCAGTTCTGAACCGAAGAAGCTTCTTGGAGGAGAAGTGAAGGACAAAGGAACCCACCCACCCCCCAAAAGAAAGTCCAGTTGCCTTTTGGATAAATCTTTCAGATTTCCATTTGTTTGTTTGTTTGTTTGCTTGTTTGTTTGCTTGCTTATGCTTTCAAGACAAATTCATGCAGTTTTCTGTGCAAGATTTTTGGGAAGTTTTACACTTGCCTTCTTCCTAGGACTGAGAGAGAGGGACTGGCCCAGAGTCACCCACTGACTTCACACTTAAGGCAGATTGGATTGGATTGGATTGGATTGGATTGGATTGGATTGGATTGGATTGGATTGGATTGGATTGGATTGGATTGGATTGGAATGGAATGGAATGGAATGGAATGGATGGAATGGAATAGAATAGAATAGAATAGAATAGAAGCTGACTCCCGAGCTTGTCCTCATGGAGGAAGAGGACTCAGAAGGTGATGGGGAGGAACTGGCAAGGCCTCCCTCTCCAGGACCTTCCCCTCTGGCAATGCCTCAGATTTCATCCGAAGGCCAGGAGGAACAGCCTGGGATGTGCCAGGAGGAAGGCATTTCGGAGCACCCATTGATAGAGAGTGATACTGATGAATCCTGGCTTGATCCCAGGCGTCGTCGGAGGGAGAAGCATGCGCAGCAAAGGAAGAGGCGTGGGAGGACCATGGATTGAGCTGAGTCACTGAGCCACGCCCCACAAGGGATAAAAGGGGGCATGATCTGAGTGAGGACGGGGGACAGAACAGAACAGAGTAGAGTAGAGTAGAGTGGAGTGGAGTGGAGTGGAGTGGAGTGGAGTGGAGAGGAGTGGAGTGGAGTGGAGTGGAGTGGAATGGAATGGAATAGAATAGAATAGAATAGAATAGAATAGAATAGAATAGAATAGAATAGAATATCTGCAGAGTGTCTTATCAATCAATCAATCAGAATAGAGCTGGAAGGGATCTTGGAGGTCTTCTAGTCCAGCCCCCAGCTCAAGCAGGAGAACCTATACTATTTCAGATAAGTGGCTGTCCAGTCTCTTCTTAAAAATCTCCAGTGATGGAGCAGCTACAATTTCTGAAGGCAAGCTATTCCACTGGTTAATTGTCCTCACTGTTAGGAAGTTTCTCCTTAATTCCAGGTTGAAACTCACAACCTCCTGATTTCTAACGAAATTGGTTCTCCTATCTCAGTCATCCTTAAAAGGATGTGAATTGGTGAACAGTCACCTTGTCCTATGGAAATCCACCTTATCATTTAACCAGGTGTTGGATAAATAAATGCATCCCCTCCCCCTCCCACCTTTGTTGGCTCTACACTTCCCATTGTTCAGCTTCATAGATGACCCTGGAACCTGTTCCTAACCCCTCAAATTTTCATATAAGAGAGAAGAAGAGTTCATATCTCATGTACTAAGAACAAGAATAACTATTTGTGTCTTGGCATCTAAACTTGGCGAGAAGCTGCTGCTTTCTGAGTGAGTGAATGTGCAAGGTTGGGGAATTCATAGCCTGTAGAGAAGTTTCATGAGCCAGAGATACCCAGTTATGAACTCTGGAACCCAGGGATACCTGAACTAGGTGGTCATTGAAGGTAAACCTGGTTTAGCTTCTCCTGTACACAAAGATTTCAAGAACAGGACAGGTCATCCGTTGATTCTGTAAGGAATAATACAGAATAACAGAGTTGGAAGTTGGAAGGGACCTTATAGCAGTGGTGGGTTCCAAACGGCATTACCACCGGTTCTCTTCGTGCACACGCTTTGCGCGCAATCACCACGCGCATGCTCGCTTAGCTCGCATGCGCGCTGAACTTGCGCTCCGCCCAAGCACATTAGGTTTCCGCTCAGCTCAGGTGCGGCAATCTAATCTGCCACACCTATCAGCTGGGCCAAAAAAAGGGGGGGACCCATCTCCCAAACAAAGAGAACCGGTTCGGTGACGTCACATTGTCACTGCTACTGGTTCGGCCGAACCGGGCTGAACCGTGAGCAACCTACCACTGACTTGTAGGTCTTGTAGTCCAATCTCCTGCTAAGGCAGGAAATCCTCTACGATTTCAGACAAATGGCTGTCCAATCTCTTCTTAAAATCCTCTAGTGATGGGACACCCACAATCTCTGGAGGGAAGCCATTCCACTGATTAACTGTTCTGACAGTCAGGAAATTTCTCCTCATTTCTAGGTTGGTCTTCTCCTTGATAGGTTTCCAGCTGTTACTTCTTGCCCTGCCCTCAGGTGATCCCATAACTAAGAAGAGACCAAAGGGCTGCCTTAAAATATCTTCATTAAAATACCATTCAATACCAAAATAAACACTGGTAGCGATTCAAGCTCAGAGAGCACCAAGGATCCCTCATTTTAATCCTGAGCGACAAACGTTCTCTTTATTGCTTTTATTCTTTTCTATTCCATTCCATTCCATTCCATTCCATTGTTGTTTCTCCCCTTTAAATACAGTATAGATATTAAAATAAGCAGCACACATTTTCAATAAATAAAAATAAGCATTTCAAAAACTTAGGCACTGGGGAGATATAAGGGTGGGCGTTAGAAACAAAACACTTAATTTATCCTAGTCACTTCCTCTTCAAAAATGACCATCTTTATATTTGTGTTACTTTAGGAATCCATTCTTATTTCTCCCCAAATTTCAAAAAATGAGGACTCACATTCTGCAATGTAATACAGAATGGCACAAGACGGTCTTTCAACAACCAGATTAGATCCAGGGAGATTAAAAACTCGGAAAACTTTATTAGTTTAGAATAAGTACAAAAGCAAAGGCAGAAAGATTTCAAAGAAAGCAAGATTTCAAACCTTTTTTTCTTCTTCTTCTTTTTTCTCCCTTTTGGCTTCTCTTTGCCGAGCTGCAATAAACTGCCCGCTGACTGCCTCCTGTTGTGCTTTAAAACTGAAAGGGAATTTACTCTTCTAACCAATTTGCTCGATTTTTTTTCAAATGAGGAAGTAATTTTTGTTTCAGCCAGGTGGATTTTTTTTTTTTAAACAAACTTAAGAAAAAAAAACCCAAAAGAGATGGTAGGAGAAGAAACGAAACTTAATTTAGAAGAAATCATGAGATGTAATAATTGGGAATGCTTAGGCATTCTCTTTAAATTGATCGTTCCTTGCTCCATCTTTAGAAACCATTCTGATATTTCTGCCTTTTTTCTGTTTCAGATTCTAGGAGTCAAATAGCAGATCCCTCATCATTTCTGACCCTTCCAACACCTCTGATTGCAGCTGTGAATCAAATTGCACCATGAGCAAATGAAGGTAGAATTAATGTGTGAAAAGGAAAAGGATGCTTGGGCGTGTAAAGACAAGCAATAATAGCTAAATGCTGTTTTTGCAGAAATCATAGGTCTGAAGGGACCAGTACTAAGAAATGTAATAGGCCTTAGAATTATAAGAAATGTTGCAGCCCTTTAAGTCAGGCTAGCTGGCAAATTGCACATAATGTAGAAATAAACTCTTTGTTTTGGTTTATGCCAGGGGTGAAATCCAGCAGGTTCTGACAGGTTCTGGAGAACCTGTAGCGGAAATTTTAAGCAGTTTGGAGAACCAATAAATACCACCTCTGGCTGTCCCCAGAGTGGGATGGGAATGGAGATTTTGCAACATTCTTTCCCTGGGGTGGGAATGGGGATTTTGCAGTATCCTTCCTCTGCCATCCCCACCAACCCATGCCCACCAAGCCACACCATGCCCATCAAGCCACGGCCACAGAACTGATAGTAAAAAAATTTGGATTTCACCACTGGTTTATGCTTATAATTTCCAATAAAACAGGATCTGTGGATTTAAGCAAAATTGTACATACTGCTAATAGATAAACCAGTTTAAAGGACTGAAAACAGTGGTGGGTTGCTACCGGTTCGGACTGGTTCGTGTGAACTATTGGCGGAAATTTGGCCAAGGTTGCAGAACCCGTAACGGTGGCCAGCTGGCCACGCCCCCGAATTGGTTCCCCCGGTCGCCGGTCGCTTGCCCCGGCCACCAGATTCGTCACCGCCATATTCTTCACGCACACGCATCCCATTGCCTTGCAAGTCCAATGGGATGCACATGCACGAAGAACATGGCGGCAACAGCAGCAGCTTTTTCTGCCGGTATGTTTTGGCGGCCTGCAGAGAAAGCGGCTGGCAAAGAAGCCTTTTCAGGTAGCGGTAGTGATGGAGGCAGGTGGTTCGGAGAACCAGTAGCAAAAATCCCTGCCTCCTCCATTGCCCAGCTGAGCCGCGCAATCATCAGAGGCTTTTTAAATTATTTTTAAAAGCATTTTTTCTACAACCTCTTTGGCCAAAAAAATGATTTTAAAAGTTTTTTAAAAAAAGCCTCTGATGATCGCCTGGCTCAGCTGGGATCATCAGAGGCTTTTAAAAGCATTTTTCTACAACCTCTTTGGTGGAAGAGGTTATAGAAAAAATGTTTTTAAAAGGAAAAAAAGCCTCTGCTGATCAGGCAAGTCAGCTGGGATCATCAGAGGCTTTTTTTTTGCTTTTTTAATTTATATGCTGCCCTTCTCTGGAGACTCAAGGAGGCTTACAATGCGATAAGCAATAGCCTTCATACTTTTGTATATTTATACAAAGTCAGCTTATTGCCCCCACAATCTGGTCCTCATTTCACCTACCTTTGAAAGGATGGAAGGCTGAGTCAACCTTGAGCCTGGCGGGATTTGAACTTGCAGTAATTGCAAGCAGCCGTTGTTATTACCACCACCACCACCAAGCCACGCCCACAGAACTGGTAGTAACAAATTTTACATTTCACCACTGATACGTACTTCTGTTACATCCTTGAAATGTTTTTTTGTGAGATGAAAAATCCTAATCAGTAATGTGTCAGGTTCAATGCTAGATGAGAACCTCACACACTAGTTTTCTATGTTTTAATCTGGAAAAGTTGTAGAAATGCTGGAGATGGCATTATCCACAGATTTTTTTTTTACATGGCTTTAAAATATTGTTAAGATCTGAGTAATTTCACTGTATTGTCTGCTTTTGGAGTTGTCAAATTCTACCCTGTTTTATGGGAAACTCTAACAAAACTCATTTCCCCTTGAGTTTCTGCAACTTTCTGGGCAGGCAGCTGAAACTCTTGCCATTTTCTGGGGTATATATAGATGCAGTATCTTGTTCACATAACTTCTCCCTTCATGGTTAGAACTCATCTCCTTCTTTCTTTCACTCTTGAGAAAAATGCCTAATTATAACACACTCAACATGCTATGATTTCCCAATTCACAAGAGCTTTTGAATGCAACAGAGGAATGTTAGCAAGGCAGTTGGGAAACCTTTCATTGCTTTTTTAAAAAAAAAAAGAAGAAGGAGGAGGAGGAGGAGGAGGAGGAGGAGGAGGAGGAGAAGGAGAAGGAGAAGAAGAAGAAGAAGAAGAAGAAGAAGAAGAAGAAGAAGAAGAAGAAGAAGAAGAAGAAGAAGAAGAAGAAGAAGAAGAAGAAGAAGAAGAAGAAGAAGAAGAAGAAGAAACAAAGCAAACAACTGGCTTGTTCTTGCAATAGCTTTTTATCATAGCAGCCTCTTAGAATTTTAGGCAAATCACCAGATAATTGCACGTAGAATAGTGTGTGTATATTAATTCATGATGGTTTCTGGAGGTGAAGAAGGAATGTTTGCTACTGATTTTCTCTTCTGCTATTGGTCACTTAGAGAGGACTGATTGGCTCATGGATGTCCTTGGTGAATTCAAGATCAGAAGAAATGAAGACAAAGTTTGCTTTCCAGCTGCTGTTAAGGGTGTTCAAGGATCACGCCCAATAACTCCAACAAGCAATTATTCATCAAAACAAGTAATATTTATTAACAAGGCATCTTATCATTACAGGTACAGATCTGGAACTGGGGCAGGACCGCATGGCTGACCCTTAAGTATCCCCTGGGCGTGGCTAAGGTAAGGAGAGGTTATTGGGTTAGGGTGGACCTTGGGGGTTGGCTTGCCCAGCCCCCCTGCCTCTAACCCTGGATCAGAGGCAAGGCATTTATTCCTGACAGCTGCTTTGTGAGGGATTGGTGGGTGGAAATTCAGATTGTGTGGATGTGCCCTATCTTTAGTGTTTTGTAAAAGTGTTTTCTGGGGAAGAACTATACGTTCACGAAGGCGTTCTCAGTGGTCGCACCAACCCTCTGGAATGAGTTACCCATCGGGCTCCGGACGGCCCCTGACCTCCGCACTTTCCGCACCGACCTGAAGACATGGCTGTTTCAGCAATTTCCCTGATCTGCTACGAGATTTTATTCTGTGGGGTTTTATATTGGCTGTTTTTAGGACTTTTATTGTTATATGTTTTTAATTCTGTGCGCCGCCCCGAGCCCTACGGGAGAAGGGCGACATATAAATTTAATAAAAATAAATAAAATTTAAAAAAAAACACTCCGTATTTACCGTGAAAGCAGCTTTACAAAATGAAATAATGCTGGTTTTGAGACTTTTTCTCAACTGTACTCAACTGTACTGGAATAGTCATTTCTGAGTCTTTACCAAGATTGACCATAGATTTTAGAGTGGATTGGTGATTTACTTACAAAATCAAGTTTGTGCTGGATATTTACTAACTAGTAGCAACTGAAATCTCTGAAATAACACAGAGCTTTTTTGCTTAATTATTACATGGAATAACAAGAGAGTCAGCTTCCTACAAAAAACATACCTGAAAACACCTGGCATGCCTACCCAGTCACATGACCAACCAGCCACGCCCACCCAGTCACATGACCAACCAGTCACATACGCCCAGTCACATGACCACCAAGCCATGCCAATCCATAAGCCACGCCCACAGAACCGGTAGTAAAAAAATTTAGAACCCGCCCCTGACTGAAAAAGTAGGGAAATTCCCCCCCCAAAAAAGGGGGGGGGGAATTAGGCATTCTGGGAAGATTGTGAACTGTGTAATCCTCTTCAAATGGGATGACATGGGAGGTTATTTGCACTTTGGGCTGAGGGAATTAAATCCTTGTTGAAATCTATTTTGGGGTGTGCCTACTTTGCTAGCGTCCTGCTCTTGCAAGAACGTATTTTACAATAAACTACTTTCTGCTTCATTTAATGACTGTCCAATTTCTGACTGGTGAGTGCATTTCTCACAGGTGGAATGGATGAGATCCTCCTGAAGGGAAATAATAATAGGGACATAATAAATAATACTAGAATATAATATACTGGAAGAACAGAATTAGAAGAAGCTTATTATTCGGTTCTGTAAACATTTGCTTCAGCTAAACATTTGTTTCCTGTAACACATATATGCTGCATTTTTGTTGTGGTTAGTTGCACAGTCATATTGGACCCATCGCAACCTCATGGACAGCGTTCCTCCAGGCCTTCCTGTCCTCTACCATCCTCTGGAGTCCATTTAAGCTCACGCCGACTGCTTCAGTGACTCCATCCAGTCATCTCATTCTCTGTTGTCCCCTTCTTCTTTTGCCCTCAATCGTTCCCAGCATTAGGCTCTTCTCCAGTGAGTCCTTCCTTCTCATTAGGTGGCCAAAGTATTTGAGTTTCATCTTCAGGATCTGGCCTTCTAAAAGATCATGGAAAAAGCTAGGGAGCTCCAGAAAAACATCTACTTCTGCTTCATTGACTATGCTAAAGGCTTTGATTGTGTGGATCACAACAAATTGTGGCAAGTTCTTAGAGATGGGAGTACCAGACCATCTTATTTGTCTCTTGAGAAACCTATATGAGGTTCAAGAAGCAATAGTGAGAACTGGATATGGAACCACTGATTGGTTCGAAATTGGGAAAGGAGTCCGGCAAGGCTGTATACTGTCGTCCTGCCTATTTAACTTATATGCAGAGCACATCATGAGAAAGGCGGGGCTAGATGAATCACAAATTGGAATTAAGAGTTCCGGGAGAAATATCAACAACCTCAAATATGCTGATGATACCACTCTAATGGCA